CAGGGCCCCCGTCCCGCCTAACCCTGGAGCGGTTGACCACGGGATCTAGCCCTTTGACTTTGCACGGATGGGCTTTGACCAGTGGACCTCTCCACCCGGTTGTGTCGGGTCGGCCCAGAGGGACACCGGGGAGCAACATCTGGGCCAAACCCACAGCTAAATCCACTCCGTGTAGACCCGATGCGGTAGTTTCCCCCCTCCAGGTGCCGGCGGCGGCGCCGTCCGTGAGGGGGGCCACGCACCGGAGACGCGTGCGGCCTCTTCGGATATGCCACAACACCACCCGGTTGTGTCAGGTCTGCCCATAAGGACACCCGGGAGCAACATCCGGGCCAAACCCACAGATACATCCACTCCATGTAGACCCGACGCGTCCGTTCCCCCCTCCAGGTGCCGGCGGCGGCGCCGTCCGTGACGGGGCCACACCCCGGAGATGCGTGCCGCCTCTTCGGACATGGCATAACACCATCTGATTGTGGTAGGTCATCCGATATATATGAACACTTGGAGCAAAGTCCCCTTCGTATAGACCCGATGCGGTTGTTTCCCATTCCAGTTGCCGGCTGGCGGCGGCACCGTTCGTGAGGGGGGTCACACCGCTCTGTACAGAACCGAAAAATAATGTATGTATGCTTATTAACACATACTGTATGTAAGTTAGTTAAATAATAATAATAAAGAAAACAGTGAAGAAAAAGAAAAAAAACTATATGTATGCTTATTAACACATATTATATGCTTATTAACACATACTATATGTATGGTTATTAACACAATCTATATGTATGCATATTAACACATAATGTATGCTTAATAATAATAATAATAGTACTATATGGGAAAAAGGAAAAAAGAAAAAAAAAACTATGCCGACGGCAAAGCCGTCGGCACAGCTGCGGCCAGGGCAGATGGACAGCGCCGCGGATCCGTGACGTGTCAGCTATGCCGACGGCTGCCGTCGGCTTATGTCCTGGTCGGTGCACTCTGGATCGGTGACGTGTCACCCGTATCTATGCCGACGGCCACCCGTCACGGCCGTCGGCATAGATTTGACGTCGTTAGCCGGCCGTGATGAGTGTTGTCGGCGGGCCCGCATCTATGCCGACGGCCTGTATATGCCGACGGCAACTGTAGGCGTAGCCTGGGATAAGCCGACGGCCGCTATGTGCCGACGGCTGCTGTCGGCGTAGACGGGGATAGCCCGACGGCCATTGTACGCCGACGGCCAGGACCTAGCTGTCGGCATATCTCGGTTTAGGCCGACGGTGGCCGTCGGCATACCTTTGGCTGTCGGCTTAGAGCCCTGTTCCGATAGTGTATGTAGGCCTATGGCCCACAGTACTGCAGACTAGCAGGCCGATCGCCCGATCCCAGCGGCCAGCGATCGAATCGTCCGTTCTCAGGAAAGGTAGCGAGAGATCCTCAGCAAAAAAAGAAATATAGCGAGTAATCAGCGGCTGGACGGTTCCCTTCCCGTTAGGCCGTTACGTTCGACTATTCCATCAGGAATAGTCAGGCAACGATTCCCACGTCCCAGCCCTAGCTGCTAGCCATAGCCGCCGACGCTGTACACACACGCACGCACAGTCGTACAGATGCACTCTCACCTCGCCGTCCTCTGGTAATTTCCTTCCTAATCTGGTTATGTTCGCCGCCGATTTCAATTCTGAGGCCCCCATCTTCACGCTCCTTTGGCCTTTGCAGCTTTGCTCAATTGCTCTCCTCTCCTCTCAGTCGTCTGCAGACTTTAGAAACGTACAGATTATAGAAGTTCGATCATCAGGACTCAGGACATCAGCTTTGAGGTATATTATTCATACAACAAATTCTTTTCAGCATTTTGTTTGTTCTCATGCCGCCCAGCAAGAGGAAATATCCATCGCGTAGCGACAAAATGAAAAAAGAAGAAGTGAATAAACTGATACACTCACAACGCAGAGGTATTTACAAATTTCTCAAGCCAAGTAATATTGGTGCTTCCACTACTTCGCCAAACCAAGATATTGCGTTGGCGATTGTTGCCATAGTGGAAGAGCAACAAACTAATGAAAATTCGGACTCTAATCAGCAAGAAGAAAATATCAACTCCAACATCGGTGATAACAATGTAAATGGCTCCGAGAATGTAGGTAACTAGTCGGATGCCACTGAGTTAAGGTCAGCTTTGTCTGAGTTACATCATGCTTCTGACACTGATCCTTAAGAGAAAAGTGATGCAAAAAAATTATTTGATGCACTTGGTCCCTTTGAGTTTCTAGTTGGTATGATCATCTGGCATGATATTCTATAAAGTTAGCAATATGTTGCAATCGTCAACCATGTGCATTGACTCCGCTTTGAAGCAACTAAAAGGTATAACACAATATTTTGGGTTTTCTTCAAGTTTGAGCATCGCTAAAGTTATTGTAACTTAAGTGGGAATAGAGCCATTGTCTCCAGTGAAACGTCGTGCTACGAGGAAGAAACAGTTTGACGAAAGTGATTGTCAAGAAGAAATTCTAGAAGCTAAGAAGGCTTTCCGAGTTAAATATTTTAATGTTTTTGGTTGATATGGCGACCACTTCTTTGAATGACAATGAACTTGAAGAATGTTGCCCAAAATTTGCAGAAACTTTCTCTCTTAATGGTTCATCTGATGTTGAGGTATACGATCTTATTTCTGAATTGAAGATTATGAGATTCACTTTGCCAGATGGGGTAATGTCTGCTATGGAGATTTTCGGGTGTGTCAAAGAAGTTCATTGTTATCCTAATATCTCCATTGCCTATCGCATCTTGTTTACTATGCCTGTGACGGTCGCATCGGCTGAAAGAAGCTTTTCAAATTTGAAATTATTGAAGAATTATTTGAGGTCACCAATAATCAAGATAAGTTAAATGGTTTGGCTACATTATGCATCGAGGAGAAATTGTTGGATGAGATTGACATCGACCCCATCATAAATGACTTTGCATCGAGGAATGTTAGAAGAAAATTTTAAGGTAATATGTATAAATTATTTGATACACATACTGATTTTGGATCATTTAAGTGTTACTCATAATAATTTGTATATACGTTTTTTACACAAATTTATGTATACACAAGGGCCCCCAATTTTTAGTTTGCCCCGGGCCCCCGAAATCTCAGGACCGGCCCTGACTGCCGCCCCGACATACAAGCCTCCCGAAGATCCAAACTGTCAATTACATCATTGAATAGGAAATGCCAATGAGATAAATGTCTAGAGATTCTTGAAGGCTTAGTGTGGCAAAAGAAAAGCATCTCTCCAAGAGTAGGAAATACTGGCATCAAATTTGCATGAGTACAAACCATTTAGTTTGTCAAGAACCAACTTCAAATCCTTCATTTTCTGTGTACCCTTCATTCGCATCCAAGATAAATGAGTAGTCCGGATAGACAAGACTTGTATATATCATTCAGAACAGCTATATCCGAATTCAAATTTTCTCCTACTTTTAGCTAGCTTCAAGGTTCCATGCCCTTGTTGTCGTTATTTTGCGGCCAATTAGATTCTTATTTTCTGAAATACTACCTAACTTCAGCAATTTCGATTAAGCAAGACGTGTCTAGGGAGGGCATCGGCCACTTCTCAGAGCACCTCGCACTCCGGACTCCCTAGGTGGATCACACTTCAAACGCGACAATGTTTTGTTTTGGAATTTGCGATAGGTATTTCAACCTCATGCGACCAACTGTCCACCTACATGTATGGCGATTTCATCATGGCCAATATCCTCGCGGTGCCGGTTTATTTGTTGCCTACATAAATCAGTAAATTCCTTTCAAGAAGAAGACAATAAATCATGAGTTGTCTATGCATATCCAGTACGCAGCACCACAATAACGACATGGTTACTTTCCGCAATTATCATGCCTACTATATGCAATCTCCAAACATAAAGTGATATTCAAAGAGGACAATAAATCGTTAGTTTTCCTTGACTGTATCCAGTATGCAACAGCTCGTTAGTTAGCATTCTTATCTTCCAACTATCATACGAAATCTGTTAGTGATGTGGCGATATCCTCGTGGTGCCAGTTGAAGGGCAAGCAGGCACTGCCGTGTGGATCTCTTGTATTTGCAAACTGCCTATCAGCTAGCACACGCGTTCTGCATGCATGGCCATCGCTGCACCTATATAAAGAGATCCCTGAAAGTCTGAAGACCCAGTGTGACAGAAGAAAAGCATCTCTCCAGGAGGAAATACCTCCCTCTCCTTCTCGTGTTGCTATTTGTGCTAGCAAAACAACAACCGAGACCATGGAGATGGGTCACCTCCGTGCCTTCCTGGTTTTCCTCCTCGTGCAGGTCTGCCTGTTCTTGATGATGGCCGCATCGGCGAAGGTGCATGGCAGGGCTGTGCCCGGAGTTCCCGCGTGCTGCTCCTACCGCCCCGAGTGCTGCGAGTGCCTGACGGCGGAGGCCCCGCTCGCCGCCGCCGTTACTCCCTGATGGCCTCGCCTGCGGCGGCCTGTGGGGGTCGTTCTCCTCCCTAGAAATATGTCCGTGACGTAGGATCTGGAATCTGCATACATGTATGATTCCGCTGCTTTTCATGTCTCTCTCTCTATATATATGTTTCAGAACTTTACATTCCAAGCATGTTGTTGTGATGTGGAACCTTGTTTAATAAAGTGGGAGGAGGATATTGCTGTCAGTTATGAGTTGTGTCCCAATTGGCACGTAATAATGCTTTGACCAGCGTGGATCCTGAGGGGAAACGAAAGTTGGGATGTCTAGATTTTAGTTTTTAGTTTTTAGTTTGATGTATAGTTTTCTAATAGAAACAACATTTCATGTGGTGTTGTCTTGGGGCGTAATGTCTTTTGTTCTCCCCCAACAGCACATTGTGTCGTGGTGTGGTCTCTTTGAGTGCCTCCGTGACACACATGAGTTGTAGTGTGTGCTTGACCGAACGATGTCTTCCTGCTACCTCCTCGGCCACGTCCGCGTGTCCAAGCAGAGAGCGCCGATGAGGAGGGAGCAGGGTAGTTGGGTGCGGGCTGCTGCTTGTAGACCCGTTGGTGCCTGATGTGGAACTTGGCATGAATGGTCACTTTAGTGCTACAAGTTATGATGTACATTGAAATGGTGCAAAAACTTAGCTTCGCGATGCAAATACAGTACAAAACCTCATTTGTATACGTCCAGACAAGGCATGCCAGCGTGGCATGGGTCGCTGTCAGGATTGAGACCACCTATATATATTCCTTAGACAATATAATTTTTGACTTGTAAGTGTTGGACATGATTTTACGTAAATCATAAGTATTTTGTTTCCTAAAGTTCATAAACATTTTCGAAAATGTTAAAATGTTTATATGCTGGGTGAATATTTTATAAAAAACATGAATATATAAAATTATACAAATACTTATCTACATATATATAAATAAATGTTCATATAATTTTAAAGATATTAATTTAGTTTAAAAAGGTTAATATTTTATCTTTATTAAAAATGCCACGGGCAACCTCGGGTACGATCTTTATTTTTATTAGTATTCTTGTTCCTGGGACAACTTATTGTCATTTATTGTTTTCAATATATTTAAACTTTATATAAATACATTAATTTTTTTAAAATTTTATGAATATTTAGTTAAATATATTTTATGTTGTTTAAATATATTTAAATAAATGTTCCTATAACTTGAATTAACGTTTTTAATAAAATATTAATGTAATATATAAATTTTTCATGCTTTTGGAAAATGTTTATGTTCTTTTAGGAAACAAAATATTTATGCTTCATGAAAACTCATGTGCACATTTATAATTAAGATATTATATTTTCTGAAGAATGGAAATGCGGCCTCAGAAGGGGAGCCTTGGCGCAGTGGTAAAGCTGCTGCCTTGTGACCATGAGGTCACGGGTTCAAGTCCTGGAAACAGCCTCTTACGGAAATGTAGGGAAAGGCTGGGTACAATAGACCCAAAGTAGTCGGACCCTTCCCCAGTCCCTGCGCAAGCGGGAGCTACATGCACTGGGGCTGCCCTTTTTTTAATGGAAATGCGGCCTCAATATAAAAGAACCATTAGCCTATGTATATTTTGTTTTGAGCAAAATTAGCCTATGTATAAGAAAAAATCTTCGTCGGGTGTTGGTTTGCACTCTCAGATAGGAGGTCGCTGGTTTGACTGTTGGACCTTTTTCATTCAAGTTTAGAGTTTTAATTTATGTTGTTAGGCAAAACTATTATAGAAAATATTTATTCTTGTAGAGCACTAAATGTCACCAGGCCTGGTTGTTAATCGGCAACGTAGGCACCCCGTCGTTGACGGGAACGTCTCCTCCCACTAAAAGCGCATCGCCGAAAATCCTGAAATAAATCTAGGAATAATGCGAGCATCAGGATTTGAACCCTGATGGGTTGGGAATACCACTGTCCACCTAATCAACTCAACCACAGATTGATTCGCATTTACACTGTTAATCTAAAAAATGTATAGCTTACAGATCCCACTTCAACAACAAATGTCGTTGGCTGTTACGGTAAGGCACGCTCCGAAATATTTGAGAGCTTTTCCTCTTCATGCGATTTGTGCTGTTTCTGGCAGGTGGGCCTCCCAGTGTTATTTTGTGGAAAAAAACAAACAAAAAACTGATTATTTTTTTGGCAAAAAGAGTAGGCCCCACAACGTGTCCCCATCGTCTAGTCATTGACAGTGGGCCCGACGCCACGTTGGCATGCCTCGTCAGCGCGGTGGACGTATACAAATAAAGTTTTGTACTGTATTTGCACCGCGAAGCCAAGTTTTTGCACCACTTCAATGTACACCACAACTTGTAGCACTAAAGTGACCATTTACACCAAATTCTAGCACCAGTGATGTAATTGACTCTTTCCAAAACATCCACGTCACAAATGTTGGCCATGTCTTTATTCATGTACCTGGGGTTGCTCTACTTCACAACCTGGACTAAGACAAAGCCCGGGCTCACGCTCGTCGCCTTCTACTTCCTCCTCACCTTGTCAGCACCATCAGTACGCGTTCTCCTCCCTTTCTCTTCTCCAGTTTTCACGTGTAATTAATTCTGGTTGTGGTTGCGGGAGCGAATTCATGTGTGTTTTGCAGTGAACATTGCATAGTAGCGTGTCGCTGAGTACACCGTGGAAAGCAATGGCGACGAATGATGAAAACAAACACTGTGCTTTTCCATTGACAATAGAGGAGAGCAACAACAAACCTTCTAAAAGCAACTAGTATTGTTCAAGTGGTTTAGAGAACTAAATAATGCACTACTAGTTGATTTAGTGAAATTTTGATTAATTAGCAGCTCTACTTTTTCATTAGCCGGGGAGAAAGAGCGTAGCAAAGAAATAAAACTGCACGAATGAACGAGGGTTCCAACTCTCACGCAACAAAATACTCCCTCGCCTCCAAAAGGAGGAGGCCTGATTCATCTATGATTAAACTCGCTATCAAAACCGCGGTCATCAATTTCACCTAGGAAGTTTGGCGATTTTGTTCCTTTCCATTCCAAACAATGTATACCATGATGCAACATCTTCTCTTAATGTGATCTCCCAATTTGACGATATTTAGTGATTTTCTAAAGGTCTATACTTCTGTATTGGTAGATATGATGTTATACATGGAAATTAATTTCCATTTTATTATGATAAATCGAGTACCGTAGATTGTACCATGTAATCGGGTGAATGGCATGGACCGGTTAAGTGTTGGATCGGGTGAAGTAGGACTCCCCTCCCCACTTTCCTCACTGACACGCAGGCAGAAGGGAGAGAAGATATTTTTTGCGGCAACAAGAGAGAACAATTGATATGTACTCAACCCGCTCATATCTCATGCTTGGTGGAATTTAGAAGCTTGTTTGGCTGCTCATCCTCCAATCTTCATCCACTACATCGATCTCCCCTGCTAGAACTAAAGATTAAAGAAGTAAAAGTTTTCAGCCAGCATGGTTGGAGCCGTTTAATCTCCATTGTGAGGTTATCACTAGTAGAAAATAGGGCTTTGGTCCTGGCCAGATCAAAGCATTAGTCCCGGTCGTGTTACGAACTGGGACAAATGGGTGCATCCGTCCCGGTTCGAGCGGCCAGGGCGCCGGCTCGGCCTCGGCAGGCACCAGTCCCGGTTTGTCTGACCCATTTAGTCCCGGTTCCAGAGACGAACCAGGACTAAAGGTCCTCGCTCCTGGCGCAGCCCCTTTAGTCCCGGTTGGTGGCTGGAATCGGGACTAAAGGTCAGTCTTCTGTACCGGTTCTAGCCACCAAACGGGACTAAAGAGATGCATATATATATGCTCGCCCCTGCCCGCTCACTCCTCTGTTTTTTGGCCGACCGGCGTGTGGGAGGTGTGTGCTGCTTGATACGTCTCCAACGTATCTGCTTTTCCAAACTCGTTTGCCCTTGTTTTGGACTCTAACTTGCATGATTTGAATGGAACTAACACGGACTGACGATGTTTTCAGCAGAATTGCCATGGTGTTATTTTTGTGCAGAATAAAAAGTTCTTGGAATGACCTGAAACTTCACGGTGATAACTTTTCAAATTAATAAAAGATATTGGCGAAAGAATCAGCACCAGGGGGCCCACACCCTAGCCACAAGGGTGGGGCGCGCCCTCCGACCTTGTGGGCCCCCTGGACCTCCACCGACCTCAACTCCAACTCCATATATTCACTTTTGGGGAGAGAAAATCAGAGAGAAGGATTCATCGTGTTTTACGATATGGAGCCGCCGCCAAGCCCTGTTCTTCCTTGAGAGGGCAGATCTGGAGTCCGTTCGGGGCTCCGAAGAGTGGAATCCGTCGCCATCGTCATCATCAACCATCCTCCATCACCAATTTCATGATGCTCACCGCCGTGCATGAGTAATTCCATCGTATGCTTGCTGGACCGTGGTGGGTTGGATGAGATTTACCATGTAATCAAGTTAGTTTTGTTAGGGTTTGATCCCTAGTATCCACTATGTTATAAGATTGGTGTTGCTATGACTTTGCTATGCTTAATGCTTGTCACTAGGGCCCGAGTGCCATGATCTTAGATCTGAACCCTTTATGTTTTCATGAATATATTTGTGTTCTTGATCCTATCTTGCAAGTTATAGTCACCTACTACGTGTTATGATCCGGCAACCCCGGAGTGACAATAGTTGGGACCACTCCCGGTGATGACTGTAGTTTGAGGAGTTCATGTATTCACTAAGTGCCAATGCTTTGGTCCGGTACTCTATTAAAAGGAGGCATTAATATCCCTTAGTTTCCAATAGGACCCTGCTGCCACGGGAGGGTAGGACAAAAGATGTCATGCAAGTTCTTTTCCATAAGCACATATGACTATATTCGGAATACATGCCTACATTATATTGATGAACTAGAGCTAGTTCTGTGTCACCCTATGTTATAACCGTTGCATGATGAATGACATCCGACATAATTATCCATCATTGATCCATTGCCTACGATCTCGTTTCTTATTGATCTTTTCTAAGTTACTTTTCCGTTGCCACTGTTACGATTGCTACAATACTACTACTCTTACTTTTGCCATTGTTACCGTTACTTCCATACTACTTTGCTAGTAATT